CATTAAAAAAAAAAGTGGAACCCTTAACCGAGCTGCCCTGAGCCACCCAGGCGCCCCAAGCCCGTCCCATTTTTTAATATTCTCATTACCCTTTGCTTTTTCCTCATTTAGGCATGCCTTCTCCTCTAAGTTTACTTTCTAAGTAGTACATTTACTATTTCTACTTCCTCTCTTTCCATGTACTCCTTTAGCTCAATCTACGTGCAGCAGACTCATTACTCCTCTAGAACTGCTACCATCCAAGTCATCAAAACCTTCAGCTGTCAAATCCAACTGTTATTCTTCAGTCAGTATCTTATTGAATATGTTCCTTGCAGGCACTGTTGACCATGAATTCTTTGTGAAACTCTTAAAAAGTTTTAATAATATGCTAATCTCTTCCGGTTCTTTGTTCTGCTCTATTTCTGCCTGTCCTTTAAATATTGGTATATGCTAGGGTTTCATCCTTGGCCAACTGATCCTTCTGTCAACACTTTGCTTATATGGAGGAACCTACTTACTTTTTTTTAAATAGTTATTATTTGTAAATGAAATTATTCCCAAAGGAACAGCACCAGTGAAGGTCTTTGTCTCCTAATTTTTCATCTATTCCTGGTTTTCCCGCGAGCCACTTGATGTAAAATACACCCAAAATACAAATTGTTGTACCCACGCCAATCTTCTTTGATTTTGTATTGCTGACTGCCTCTTCACTCAAGCCACAGATTGAGAGGCCTCCCAGATGATTGTATCCACTTCATTTCTCATAATCAATAATTATGAAGTTATGCCAATTTCCCCTACTTATATTTGTGTGCCTGCTCAGGATCGGACCTTCTAGATCTCTCTGCTAGATATAGATAAAAAATGTATGGAATGCTTTTAATATGTCAGGCACTAGGCTTAGACTTTCTCTGTACCATCCTAAAGCTTATCTAATCCTTACAACATCCCTATCAAATAGGATCTGTTATTATTAGAGTTTTACTAAGGGTGACAGAGCAAGGGCCATGTTAGGGTTAGTCTGATTCAAGAGCCCCACTGCTATCTCCACATGATATTGGCTATGCTGTTGCAGAGGGATCCTAATTGGTCTCTTGGCTCCTAATTGGTGTTTTCGCTTCCATTCTACTCTCTGGATTTAAGTATGCCAAAATGATCTTCTTAAAATGCAAAATGAATAGGTCTCTACATCACCTTCAAGTCCAAGCTCCTTAGAAGAGTTCACAAAATTCTTTATAACCTTACACTTTCCTATTCTTCCTGTCTCCTCTCTTCATATCCCCTCACCCCACCTCAAAATCTATGCTCCAGTATTAGAGGTATGTGTCATTTCCTTCCCAAAGCATGCTTTTTACGCTTATTCTCTCTTCTCATCTTCTCAGGACTCTTCTCCCCCACACTGTGAAAATATTCTACTTGTATGTAACACTTGCTATCATGTGATTCTAAATTATTTAAAGGGCAGGGACAAGGTCTTTTTCATGTTTTTACCCTCAGTGTCTAACACACAATCAGGTACGTGGTCGGCATTCACATTCTGTTGAACTGAAATACTAGTTTCGGTATTCAGGTGAACTAAATATTGCAGATATCTGTCATCTCCCTCTTCCTCAAACCCAAAATTCAGCTTTTCCTTGGGGAATAGTGTTTGTTTTACCTCAGACATGTATCTTAATTTCATCTTGTATTTTCGTTCTTTTTGTTAGATTGTACTTCAGTTCCATGTTACTTTAGTTTTACTTTTATTATTATGTTTTTAAATGTTTATTTGTTTTTAAGGGAGAGAGAGAGAGAGAGAGAGAGAGAGAGAGAGAGAGAGAGAATCCAAAGCAGGCTCTGTGCTGACAGCAGAGAGCCCGATGTGGGGCTTTAACTCACAAACTGATCATGACCTGATCATGACCTGAGCCAAAGTCAGAGGCTCAACCAACTGAGCCACCCAGGTACCCCTAGTTTTATTCTAAAATTCCCTCAGATCTCACCATTTGGACTCTGATTTTCCCTCTTTCACGTTCAGCAGTGGTTCTCAAATGTCAGGATCACCACAAGGATCAACTGAAGAGCTTGTCAAGTTGCAGTTCGTGGGTCCCAACCTCAGAGGTTCAGTTCAGTAAGTCTGTGGTGGGCAGAAGGGATATGCACTTTTTATTATTTAAAATTTTTTTAATGTTTATTTATTTTTGAGAGAGAGAGAGAGAGAGCAGAGGAGGGGCAAAGAAAGAGGGAAGCACAGAATCGAAGCTCTGAGCTGTCAACACAGAGCCCAACAAGGGGCTCAAACTCACGCACCGGGAGACGGTGACCTGAGCCGAAATTGGATGCTTAACCGACTGAGCCACCCAGACACCCTGGGTTATGCAGTTTTAAAAAGCATTACAGATACTTCCATAGCAGGTGGTCCATATACCACAGGTGGAGACACTCTGCTCTGTGCTATCAAGAGCATTTCTTCCTGAAACCCAGATAGGATAAGTTATTACTTGCTGAAATACTTTTGGTGTCTCTCCTTTGTCTAGGATACACTGTAAAATCACTGACATGTGGCATAAGAGTTTCTACAGTTTCCAGTCTGCCTTTTGGAGACCATCTCCCAGCACTCTGTCCCCACCCTTTACTTCCTTGTATCCTAACCCTTTTTGTATCATACATTCTCTATGTTCTATGCATGTTCTATGTTCTCTATGTGCCAGCTGCGTTCTCTTGCCCTTAGTTGGAAACTATTATTGTTTGTTTATGTTATACCTGCCTGTCTGCACTGCCTTCTGATCCACTGTTGCAATTACTGAGCTCCTAATCATCCTACAAGATCTACCTCAAATATTACTTTCTCCATGCGGGCTTCCTTGAAATAGCTGCCTTCTCCTCTAGCCTTTGCTCTTATCTTTGGCCAAATTTAATGTTCCCTCTGTTTGCTGATGTCACTCTTTTATACATCTATCCAGAATGCCACTCAGACTGTGGAAACTCTTTGATGTCTCTTGACTTAGAGAGTCTATAATTGAGAGATCTTACATTGTTTATATTATATTCCTGCAATTACATTATAATTGCTTTTTACGTATTTTCACACTATCGTAGCTTCCCTCAAACATGAAGGCCTCTTTCCACAGTGACAGTAGTTAATTGTGAAGAGAGAAGCAGTGTGAGGGGAAGCCAATGTATGTGGCTATCAGCACATGGGTGTATTTTTCTAAAATATTTATAAGTCGTCATTCCAAATAACACTTTATTTTCTTTCAAGTTTCAGGAAAATTTTATCTAGTCCTAGAACAATAGAACAGTGCCTTATGGAAAGACTCGAGTTGTGCTGCAACTTTTAAAAAAATGCCAGAGTCACCATTATCTGAGCCCTCTGTTCAATATCTGTCAGTATTTTCAATTCTGACAGACTTGGCACTTGAAGAGGGTTCCACAGCCTCCGGTGACATAACGTGGGAAGAAGTTAGAGATACAAAGTAACAAGGCATACATAGAAAGCAAGCAGGGCCACTCTCCCAGTCACTTCCTCTACCCACCTCCCAACCCCCCATCCCAGCCAACAAGCTCTCTTCAGAGGCCCTGAATTTCAATTCATGTGAAAATGGGGTTCCCTCATCAAAAACATAGCGTTTGTGGAAGGCCTATGTTTTGGTGAGGTCTTTTCAAACCCTTATTTAGATTTAGATTCCCCAACCTAGGGCTCTAAAATTCATCACTGATCTTAAAATTGTCCACCTATCGTTACTTTCTGGAGTTGTGCAAAGAACGGAAGTCTCGGGTTCTGTTTGGAGTAGCAAAAGACAGATGAGGAGGAGGATATTTGAGTAATCGTTTTCCGGGGGATGTTTTAAAGATAAGTGAAGAGAGCTCTCCAAATATAAATCACAAAATTATTCAGCTGAAGTCGGTTGCGATTGTATTGCCCAACATGGGCAAGCGTGGTGTGAAGTGAGCAAGTGCAAGGACACTATGATTTAGCCATTGGAGTTGGAATGTAAAAGAACATCCAGCTATTATCAGATTGCAAGTGGCTGAAAAGCTGAATGGGGGACTGTGAAATATGCCATGTTTATCTCACAGATCCCAGAGATCCTAACATAGATGGTGAAGGGGGGGGGGTGGTGGTGATGTGTTGCCAAGGACTTCAGATTTGATTTGTATTACTCTTATTTACACCCACAGCACAGAAAGAATAAATGCTGCCCAGCAGCCACTCCTAGGGCTGGGTCTGCTCACTTCCTTAGCATGGTGAAGGTTACGCCCCAGTTTGGAAAACTAAAGTACAACAAATGTACACTGAAATCCCTGTGCCAAATCTATTGAAAGCCCTGATACCATTTGGTGTAGAACTGGAAAGACTTTCTGATCTGAGGTGTGTCTAAGTGTCTTTCTGGACCACAAAGGACTCATAAGAGTTATGATTACATTGAACATAGTAAAGGAATAATCCTAATTTTCCTTTGAATTACACAATCATCTTTAATTTTTTTTTTTTTTTAATGAAAGGCTCCTGCTCTTTTACTACAAACATCTTCTGACATTTCAGTTTCTTTTTCGCTCACACTGCCATATGACATTCCTATCAGGGTTTCTGGTTTCTTCAGGGAATTAACCTACAGAGCATGTATAGCAAACAATAAAATAGCTGCTTTTCAATGAACATAAGGAGCGGGTGTTTTTCCCTCCCTTCCACTGCTTTCTGCCACTGCCCCATCACAACTTCTGGATTTCCTGTCTATTGGCGGCGCCCCCCAGCCCCACCCCTAGCTCCCCAGTTCTGTGCTTCAGAGCAGTTTGCGAGCCTCGGCGGGCTGTTCTTTCCCCTACAGCGCTCACTTACGACGGCACTAGGACCCAGGGAAGTCCCTGAGCGAGGTTCGAGGAAAGGCAGCCAGACTCCTCCTTATCTCCAGTGTCAAACTTGACATCAGCCTGCGAGCGGAGCATGGTAACTTCTCCAGCAATCAGAGCGCTCCCCCTCACATCAGTGGCATGCTTCATGGAGATATGCTCCTCTCACTGCCCTCTGCACCAGCAACATGGATTGTCACCTCTCCATCCTCCTCCTTCTCAGCTGCTCCGCTCTCCATTGCTTTGGGGAACTGATTCTCCAACCTTCCAATGAAGGTAAGCCAGGTAGAGCAAACTGCCCTGCCCCGCAGAGCTAACGCTCTTCAAAGCACGTTCTCCCTGAAACCTTTTTAGGTCGTTAAGGTGCCTCAGAATAAAGCAGTTTGCTCTGAGAGTAAACTAAAGATGTGCTTTTATTTTCCGGTGTCTTCTAAAAGACTTTAAGAGAGAATTTTGGATTGCCTAAACCTAAAATGTGTTTTTAATCTGATACCAATTCAAGCAATTACCTTGTTGGCTAATTTTAAGCAGAAAGAAAGAAATATCCTCCAGTTTTACAACCCACGATGCTAATTGCCAAATAGCCGTGGCAGTATTTTATTTTCTAATTATGACCATGTAGTACTCTGAGAAGTTTAAAAGAAAACCCAACCCTCCTCGCTAGATTCTTTAGTATGTTCAGAGGTAATGACAGGTTGTTTCTACTTAGGATCATGGCATTTATGAATGGACTAAAGGGAAATCAGAGTTTGTTGAAGCTGATGGTGTGTGTGTGTGTGTGTGTGTGTGTGTGTGTGTGTGTGTGTGTGTTTATATTGCAATAGCCTTAGTGAAGTGATGTGTATCCCGCCAGGCGATGGTTTGCTCTATGGTACAGGTTCTAATGAGCAGCATATGCCACATTAACATAAGTAATATTTGCAGGAATTACAATAAGCTTAGATTGGATTCTCTTTGTTTAAGGGTTTATATACGAATACGGGAATGTACTTGATGAATAGTGAAAAGCTCTTGGGTAGGTATAGTAAATAACTGAATAGAAAATTAGAGAAATAATGTCCATATGCAGCAAATGGCATTTCCTGATGTTGGGTTATTTATTTTCTTCCTAATGGGCATTCATCCCTTTTCAATGGACTAAAGTGCACATGTAACATTGAGGACACCAATGTTTCCTATAAGATTGTGTATTTGATAGATACATTGCTTTTTTCATGTATACCTTTTGTGATCTATTCCTAATGATTTGTGAATACAATCACTGACTCTTAAGACAAAGTTCTCTAAATAATTGATTGCTTTAAAGCAACACTTACAACTTTGCCTCTTAATCATTTTGAACTTATAACAGTAACGTTTAGCAACCTGTTTTGCAGTTTAGTAATACTGAGAAATTGATGTGAAATGCTTCACTACATACTATGCCACTAAAAATATATTGGCAAGCCAGTGCTGTTGTGTGTTGTATGCATTATTTTAAAAAGACAAGTAAATACTCAAAATGTTTAGAAACTTTTCATTGAATCTAAACACTGCCTCTCATATTTACTGACCTACTTTCATTGCTAATAGAGCAGTTTAATTTTGTTCTTTCCTTAGTGACTGTCTTTATCAATTTGGCAGATTTCATTAAATTTTTCTGTGTCTTTTTTTAACTGGGAAAGTGAAAATTCTAAAATATAAGGATCAAGAAAATCATCTGATAACCTAGAAGTGACTTTTTTTTTTTTTTTACAAATCAAATTAAAATCTTTATTGGAAAGTAATAGTCAATAATTTTTCATTGAATGAAAGGCAGGAGTAATCATTTGTATAATGAGTAACATATTAGTAAGTTAAAATTAGTGTTTGTTTAATCTCCTTAATTTTTGAAGATATTAAAGAATTGACAATAACTAGAAGTATAGTAATATTATTCCCGTATTGCTATGATAATTGTATTTCTCCAGATGGAATATTTATAAACTATTTAGATAATGGATTTTGCTGAATTAATAATGCACAGGGATAGAGCTGAGAGTCAGTATTTTTGTTGAAAACATAACCTTTCGGTAAATTGCAAGAGGAAAAAAAGACCCTTTATTTAAACTTATTCATGCTTATATAAAATTAATGAATATTAATTTAATGAAACAGGAATAATCAAATGTAAATTGTCTTTCAGCCACACCTTGTATATGTTTCAATATATAATGTATATAATATTATGCTGGCAGGGATGTATGTAGAAAGGGAAATAGATGCAGAAAACTGACACAATTACATTTAATTTGTTTGGATAAAAGTTTATCCATTGTTCATGGGATTATTCTTTCCAGATCATGTCCTATGGATAGTGTCTCCTTTCCCTCCTGAGGTCATGAAGGGAAGCTCTGGAACAAAATTTAAAATGAATGATTTACCTTGAGAAATATTTGAGTGTAGTTTTAAATATTAATGTAATAGCTTAGGTCTTAATAGTTGAGATGAACAACATGAAAAGTGAAAAACCCAAGTATGTGCCAAGATTTCCATGCAATTCTTCTAACAATGTCATTTGAATAGAAAGTCATGCTTCTGAAAATTCATATATCATAATAATGATAAAATGAATCTCACTAATATAGCTTTCTGATACAAGTTTTGAGAATGGACATATAAAATACTAGGTTGCATTTAAAATACTATGCTAAAAAGTCTACTTACTGTACTTTTACTAGAAATTTACTAGTAAAATTTACTAGAATTTCTTTCACAGTCTTCTATGGAGTTAGGCATGATAGAACTAAAAGGGAACAAACAGAAGCCATTGAGTTAATTGCTTGCCCCTGTGTGATTTTTTTTTAATTTGAGATTTGATAATTAAATAGCAATATTAAAATGCCATGGGTCTCTGATAAAGCAATTTTTTAAAAACTTAGAAAAAGTTTAATCTGAACTTGCCTTTTATTAATCCAGTTACAAATAACTTTCTAATATGCTTTCAAGAAAATGACTCCAGGTGATACTTTATATCACTGGCCTCCTCAATGATAATAGATTATTCACAATTTCAATGATCACTTTAACAATTGGCCTATATACTTAAACAGAAACTTTATTAACGCTGCACAGGACTTTATTAAAATCTTATCAGATCTCTGTTTACATGACACGCCAACAGAAGACTTCCAATGGGAAATCAACTACTCATGGCAAAATTGGATTGCTATACTACGCATTATTTTAAAAGTTCATGTTTGCTCCCTATTGTAATCCCAAATGGATGATAATAATGGTAAATAAAATAACTTTGGAAAATGGTTAAAATTTGATATAAAGTGAAGTATCGATCTCTTTAGCATTGGATAAAGTACTCTCTTTAAACACTTTCTACATTTGAAGGAGTCTGAGGCAGAATGAACTGCTGCTTATTCATCAGTACATAATGCATTAAGTCATTTTTCTGTCCAAAAGCATTTGTAAATTAGATTAATGTTTATCTATAGAGCTCTTTACACTGGAAATCAGAGTTTTCAAAGTAAGAGTGGATAAAATTAAATCTGCATATTTATATGCTACTTATTTTGGGAGACTTTTATTGGAGTGTCTGGGACACTATATCTATGAAATGTATTTCACTGAACGTAAATCTCCCAAGTACTAGAGGTGACTATGCGATTGTTCAAAGCTTAAAATTAAAATTTGCATATGTACACTGTATGCCTCCTTTTGAATATTAAGCAAATGTTTGAGACAGCCATTTAAATAACGGATTATTACCTTTTTAAAAATTACTATAAATTGGCATCACTTTTCATATGTAAACACTCATCCTTAAACAATAATACATTGTGATTGAAATCTTTATAGAGAACTAAGCTGTCATATCTTCATAGGTTTTTTTTTTAAAGAGGGTTTACATTTGCTTTTAATAGCATTTCATCACACTAGACTATATAATTGAATGCATTATACATTTTTGTAATTTAATAGCTCCCCTAATAGCTAACCCCCCCCCCTCCCCCAACAGTTATAACTATGCTATTTGCCTGGAGGCAGGAGAAACCTTAATTTCACTATTTTATAACCCACAACAGTTAACACTTGACCTAGGTCATTAACAGGATTATCAGCAAATTTGTTTAAGCTTTTACTGACAACCCGAACTGCTACGATGATATTTGGATTGTGCCGGAAAGAAACTTCTTGTAACCTCTCAAAATCTATCATGAAGTTAATTCATTCTGAATCTTTATCTTTCCAAAGACTAATATTGATAATAACAATCCAAGTGAGAAAAATGTCCACTTCAATATCCCATTCTCCTCACTCTTGTGTTACATATATCACACCATTCTAAAACTTGTCATACATGAGCAATTAACACTTCTTTTAAAAGATACATATTCTGGCAATAACAATAGATGTATAAATACAAACCAGCTATCAACATTTCAGTTTTATGCTTTTTTATTATTGGTACTCTAGTTGATATTGCTTTTCTGCCTGTTTTAAGATTTAAGGTCAGTTGGATGTATTTATAACTCAGAAACAACTGGAACTATAAAAGGGAAACTACATACATAAAACACTATTGCCACGTGTTACATCATGGTTATATTTATATAAAGTTGTCAGGCTAACAACTGGGAGCAAAAATGAAAAGCACTGAAAATTAATATAAAAATTTTAAACAAAATGTTGTACACAATCAAAACTTAAAGGCATTTTTTTAAACGTGGTTTAGTGAGGTTGGGAAGTGTCATGTGATCTTTTTAAATTAATTGAATACAATAATGGTCTGTGACTTGCTCATGTAAACAATTTAGTAGTTTCACCTTGACTCCAAAGAAACATTATCTTTAAAGAAAAGGTTTGGTAAAATTCTTCATCGTGTTTATATATTATCCGCATGTTAATATTCAAATTCTGGTTTGTTCTTTACCACCTTCACTTCACTATAACTTTCTTTATAAAGATCGCTAAATGTTAAAATTGTTTATGAAACTTTGGAATTTTTCTGAAATAAAATCTATGCAATTTTTAAATATCAAATAATCAGTTACATATGCAAAGGATTTTTAAAGGCAAAACATATTTCCACAGTATATTTGATTTACTAACTTCAACGCAAATGGAAAGAGCAAGGACTGTTCTTGAGAGTTACTTTTTCCAAGTCATAAAATCTTCAAGAAAATATTAATAAAACTTTCTACAAATCATCAAAACTCGATAAGTTTTTACATTTACTTACTAAGAAATCTGTGATGTGGGTTACCTTTGATTTTAGTCATTTCCAAAGATTTTGTTCAGCA